CACCTCAATGTAAACAGGCCCTTAGGGCTTGTTTACATGGAGGTGGGGGACCTAAGGTAGGTGAGGTAACCTGCCTAGGTGGGGTAACCCGCCTGTCCATATAATTTCTTATTTTATCTTGATCACGTTTACATGATAGGTGGGGTGACCCGCTTAGGCGGGTTGCCCGGTCTGCCAGGCAGGGTAACCCTGTCAGCCGGAGTTACAATTTGCCACGTAAACGTCTCAAGGTGGGGTAACCTGCCTAGGCGGGGTTGCGTTCATGGCAAAAAGCTCAAAAGCGAAACACGTTTGTTTTAAAACTTTGTACATTTCTTAGCCGTCTCATGGCAGAAATCACCAGAAACCGCAACGGACACACAGGGAGTATAAAATGTTCACATTTCGGAATAGTTAGCGTTGTAAATCGACCATATTTCGTTTGCCAAACTATTCCTCGCATTACGAGAATTTGTATTACGTCAACGGTTCCTCGCGTAACCTAACACCGCGTGACACGACGCGTAACACAACGCATGACGCTTTCATGAATAAATACATGTGTCCGATAATTAATCTTTCGTCTTTCGCGAGACATGAGCTTGGGCTGCCCATATTAAAACTCCCTTCTTGCAAGCGCAAAAAAAACCTTAAGAAATCTCACCTCAGCACCCCGGGGTTGTAAGATTTTATGTAAAAGCGTTTTATTTTTCGACCATGGTAAGGCGGGTTACCTCACCTACGTACACCTGTGGTCCCCCAGCTCCACGTCATCAGGCCCTAATACGTCCTTCATGTGCGAAAGTTTTGGCTTTTTTGTGACGTTTAAGAACTCACTTATAGATTTAGTCATGATATAGAATTAGAATAAAAGTGGGCTTAAGCTTAATCTTTTGATTTGTAAGTCGTGAGTAAGATATATTTTCTGCACCGATACAACTGTTAGGTTGCAGGGAGCCTTGGGCTCTCTTGCGTGACATTTTGTGGAATGCTGGTCAAGTTACTCGTTCGAGTAAAAAGCGAATGCTTGATTCCACTTCCTCTACGGTGGCCGCAAGAACGCAAAATCTTTAGATGTTTTAAGTCATCTATAATATACTGGATATCATGGTTTGGTTATTTAAACAAAGTTTAGCCGTTGCTCGCCTTTGCTAGCCGTTGGTCATATTTGCGACAAGAAAGGATCATTTAAACTTTAAAGCTAGTCACTCTTTCTAGAAATTGTAAAACTTGACTTATGCTATGGCTCAAGAACAAGTCTTTTAAGCAGACGTATTCAAAATTTCAGGAAGGGGTAAAAAATGATCTACCATACTGCTTAGTCTACTTTGAGTGTAGTTTACGCACTGAAATCAGTCGTCCGTGCACAAGTGGTTTCTATTTATAACGCGTTTGCTGCAACTTTAATGTGTCATTGTTATAACTCTCTTTAAAAGGCATGAAACAGCCGTGCCAGATTAGGTAAACCTACAACACTCGGTAAGACCGATACTGTGGTTAAGATTTGCTGACTGTCTTTCGTTTGCTTTCAGGAAAAAAGCTTAACACATATTATATCGTTTGTTTACAAAGCAATGAAGGAATAGGAAGCCAATATCCTTCCAACTTAAGTTCCATCAATCACCCACTGTGCGGCGTCCATTTGTCGCATTGTAGGTCAGGGGTTACATCCTGTTATCGTTAATGATACGCAGTTTTAACGTGAATTTTATAGGTATTCGTAATTATCATAGCTATATTAAATTAACCAACTTTGTGCCGCTCGCAACCGTACACCGGCGTTTGTCACTTTTGTGGTACAATTACAATCTTGAGCCATACACGAATGAAGAAGGAAAAATACTAGGATTTAAAATTGAACATTGTCTCTATTTCCACATGCAGGTCAAATCGTTATCGCTTGCTGTTTATTCCTTTATCTAATTACTTATTCAATATTTTTTTGCTTTCATGATTTGAATCAAGTATCCTTTATTGTACTTTATATCTTGTGGTGAAGAAAAGCGTAAAACCTTGTAGAAAAAACCTTTGCGCAAGAAACCGAGAACTAACAACAATTCGATCCTCGTGTGACTTAAATTCAGACAAAGTTCCCAGCTTTAACATCACTAATTGTGATAAAATCGTAGGTGAGTAGAATTCAAGAGTGGATCTTCCATCAGGTGGCTTTTGGAGGGAAGAAATTAAAGAGCAAAGCCAAACGATGGGGACGCGCCCCGACGCTAGCAGTTGGACCTCGTAATGAATCAAAGAGGGACGAAACTTCCCACCAGCTCAAACGAGACTGAAGAGTTTGCAACATCACACAAACAACATATTGGAAATTTAACGTAGCCTGCGTACAGCCGCCCCCTACCCTCCAAATGAAAATATGGAAGAGGTGCCCTTCCTACGGTCTACGATACAGGTTATCAAGTTAAGGATCAGTTGAACCGCTCTTCAAGGAAATTAAGGCAAAATCAAAACATTGAATATCATAGGATCGTGTAAAAAACAATCACTGACAAAGCAGGGTTAGTTGTGGAAGATATATTGAACAATATAAACAATTCAAAGCACAAACAAAAACAAACACAAGAAAAAACAAACACACTCTCCAAAACTATTAGCATCGCATCGTATTTGTCCTTTTTGCTCGAGTGCAGAATAGCGTGACGACTTATAAGAACGTGTAGGAGGTTTCACACTTCCTAGAAGTTTGTTTCACTCCCAGTTTGAGAACTCTTATCTTTACCGACTTAAGACTGGACATAATTTTCCAAAATTGTCAAATTACATAGCTACGTTTTCGAGTACAATAATTGTGATAGTCAGATAAACTACAGTGATTAACTTTGGACACTCTTCTGAAACTAAAAATGTCCTTCATTGTTCTTCTCCTTACCCAGATATACATGTCGAGGCACGACGATGTTTAAATAACTCCAGTTTTGAGGTATGCGGCTGTAAGCAAAATTAATTATTCCGCTGCTTGAGGTGAAAAATTGTTTACCTATTTTATAACTACCATCATCTTCAGCAATTTTTTTCTCACAGCACTCCCAACTTGGATTAAACTCCTACGCATACGCCCTCAGCCGGGCTCACGACAAGTCATTCCGGCATAGATGCCTCCCATATAGGATGCTTTCTGTACGCAGGTTAAATATTCTGGTTTTTTCAGCTGTCTCTTTAGATAGAGGCTTGTAAAATTCATGATTTCATCCTTTAAGTATAGACTAGTGCATTTCCACACAGTCAAACGGATGTGAACTGTAATTAATTGCTCACGAATAATCTGAAAAGCTTTTATTAACTCAATTTCGATGCAGAATCGAACGAAATATTTTTGGATTCACTCGTCAAAGTTTATAATAACTTTATTTGCTTCAAGCTGACGAAGTAAGGGCACAAACTTAGTGACTATAGAATCCTAAAATTGAAGGCTACAGTAATTAAAAGTACAAGAAGTGACAACATTGATGTGGCGAAGTCCCCCTCCCCGTCCTCCTACACAATACAGAGGGGTATTTTGTTGCGGTTTTGCTTATTGGGCGACATACTTGATATTTCAGACTTTATGGAGGAGGTGAAGGCTTAAAAAATGAGAAATATTTAATGTATACCATAGTTTTGATTATTTTTCTCACATTAGATTACATCACACCTCAATGATTAAACTCCTACGCACGCGCCTTTAGGTTCATTGGAATGATGGACAACAAGTCATTTCGGCATAAATTTCTATTCTGAAATGCTTCTCATACACAGGTTGGATTTTCCGGTTTTTCGGTTGTCATTAAAGAGGCTGGAAAATTCATGATTATATTCTCAAGGAATAAGATCAAACGGATGTGACCTGTTCTTGAATTATGACGGATATTTCTGCTGAACTATACAATCAATACAGTTTCATTTTGTTGCGGTCTTACTTTAAGGCTTCATGATATGAATATTTCAGAGTTTTTGGAGGAGGGTAAGACTTGGAAATATAATTAAAAGGAAAGGCAAAAACATGAATTTCAGGGAACAATATTTGGTTTTGATGTACTTTTTCGCCTGTGCAAGCCAGCATGAATTAAAGCTCGTTTCACTAGTTTCACTGACTTCTTAGAGACATTTACGAGTTCGCCTATAGACTGATCTCTAACGCGTGGATGGAAATAATTTTCTGCACGCATAAACCAGTTTATTTTGTACTATCTTGTACATGAATACAATTTGTTTAAATTCCATAGCCATCTTGTCAGTAACATTCTGAAATTTCATTTTCTTTCTAATTTAGGTCAACCGGAAGGCAAAGCCATGCCTTTTTTAAAAAAATACAAACAGATTGTGCAAGACGTGACATAAGTTGTCTAACCTGTAAATAAATGAATGTGATAATTCAATTGTGTTTGGTTTGTTTAAATATTTTTTTTTTGCCGAAACTCTTGATAAGAAAGTAAGAAAAGGCAGCGCAAGTAAAATTATTGAGAATATATGGGAAGTACTAAGCTCCTTATCGCCCACTTGCAGTTTGATTGATTTCAGGAAATCTCTCTTTACTTGTTTATGTAATGTCTTGCAACGTTCTGTATTTTAAAGTTATCAACCAGAGCGACAAATTGGTTCAGATGGTTTGGATGTTTTAGACAATTTCATCAAGAATGTGCAAGAATTTGATATCTTTAAACCAAACCACTGTTAAGTTTTGCCAAGAGGCATGAAGAAAGAAGACAAGAGAAATTAATTTTTTCTGCGAACGCTGTTGGTTTTGTTGGTTTTGTTTTACCTGTTTCCTAATAAAAACTGATTATGTCAAGAAAAATTCAATTAATGTAATTGGGCATCAATTGTAAATATTGACTGTGTTAGCAAATCGTATAGTTATTTTCCGCTATTTTTGATTCAATTTTAAACGGTAGGGTGCGTAGATTAGTGCATGGGAATATAATTGAGTGAGATAAATTTTTTTCATTTTTTCAACATGAGGGAGTGAAAAAATTACGATTGGAAAGTTATTATAAATAGAAGAAATAATGTTCAAACGTCCGCAGTCAGGCTTTGGTTCATACACTAATGATCTTTATCGAAATCGTCGAAGAGTACTACCATGGATGTCAAGCATATATTTCTGGTAAGCAAATGTAGTACTTATTTCTTATTACCATCAATTTGTTATTGGGAGTTATCTCCTTTTCCTTAACATGATTTCAAGGGAACAACTTAGATTTGAATTGATCACTTATATTATATACAGCTACCAGATCTTTTTAGTTATTTCTTTTCACTACATCAGATGCTACGATAACTTAACAATTTTCGTTGGGTTCTGAAACTTCTACCCTATTCACAACAAAGTGAGTAAAACATGTCTTAGAGCTTGTCAAATTTAGCACAATGAAACTAGATTGCTCAGACCCTATGCAAAATTAAGTTCTAAAGTTCTCTATAGCAGATTTTATTGAATAGGGCATTAATGGCTTACCTTCTTAGATGATATGGTCAAACAACTTGAGAAGCTTTAGGTAATGCTCGTTGCACGTTACTTAGGGCCATGGGTTTATCAGTTTAATTACTGTCAAATGCAATACCCTCATTAAATAAACTCTTCTACTTCTACCACTACTGCTGTGCTACACAGTAGTAAACTACTAGTACTACAACCACAACTACTACTAGTACTACTTCTACTACTACTACTACTACTACTACAACTACAACTACAACTACTACTACTACTACTACTACTACTACTACTACTACTACTACTACTACTACTACTAATACTACTACTACTACTACTACTACTAATACTACTAATACTACTAATACTACTACTACAACTATTATTTCTACTACTATCATTGAGGTAGGCTTCAATTTTTTTCGGAGCTCATTCGGTTTTGTTCTATTTTATATCAATTTGCTTTTCTCACATGAATGTTTCAAATGAAAGGGCGTGTGAAATTCTCTTAACACCTGTATGCTACACAGGGAATTCGCAGGTTATCTGATTCCGAGATTTCCGCTTCTGAGCTAATTAACGATGCCAAATCAGCTTCGACAGTTTTTAAGTTTTGCTGCGTTGTAGTCCACAAGACTAAAGTTATATTCATAACTCTAAATGATTAACAACTAAATTGGCAATCAATTAAAGGTAATCCCTTTCCTTAAGGTTTAAGCTTAATAAAACTCCTACTTGAAAATTGATTGACCAATCACATGAAGCGAACTACGCAGTGCACTGTAATAGGCGGGAATATTTCGGATGTGATAGAAGGAAACATGCACTTCCAGAATACTCTAGTAGTGTAACCTCAAACTCCAACGCTATTCAAATTATGTTGGATGTGTCACAATTAACATTACAAGACATGGTCCGTTTACCGTATGCAATCGAGGACGCATTAATAATGAGGCCAGAATATCCGCTGCATACCTTACTATGAAATTAGATGAATCTGATATCTGTATCTGTATCTGGTTTTTTTTTCTGGGTTATCTTACTGTTGTTCTGGAATTGGGCGTGATTAAAATAGGTTTTGTTTGTTTGGAAGTTTACTACACTTGTACTGGGTGATTTGATAATTGTTATGCAATTTTCAATTTTACGGAGCCCTTGAAATTGTTTATGTTCCGTTCAATATCTGTCGTCAATGATTACGTGAACCCGATTAAGTGTTTCCTGTTCGCTCAGTGACACCATTCTCTGAACAGGTGGTCACGTTTGGACTCATAATACTCATTGTTGCCGTATCAATCCTTGAAAAAGTTGATAAACCGAATTATACGCTACTAGACTCAATTTCTTAAATCAGATAGATATTGGCAAAATAATGACAATAATAATAATAATAATAAAACGGTGCGAGTCATCCTCAGACACACTCATCAAGATCATTCTCGCAACTTTCTGGTTTTTTTTTCCATGTGGTCGCTGAAAAATAACAAGAAAATAAATCAGAGGATAGGAGGTCAGGTTCAGTTAAGTACTATGAATACTGATCGAACAAGAGATTATATTCTAATCCTATCAAACTAATAATTTCATCAAAGTAAAACAAATGATGCAGTCATTTCTACTGGTAAATGAAACAACGACTATAATACCCTTCTGAACCTTCTGCGAATTCCAATATTTTATATCTGACGGCACATAATCTTTACACAAAACCCGTACAAAAACAACCCAAAAGCTGAATTGCATGTCTCAAATTTCTCTATTTTCAGATATCACTTGCAATCATGCTGGCAAGCAAGGAAGCGCAATCACGAGGACTGAGGAGCCTTGGCTCGGTGTTTCGGTTAAATCACTGCGACGGAGGCAATCTGATTAGGATTAACACCAACGCCTGTGAACATGTTATAAATGGAAAGAGACAGTGTAAAGTACTCATCAGTGGTAGAACTACTAATGACAGTTACACACGTGAGTATTACCCAAATAGAAATGGTATGGTGTTATTTAAAATGATACGTGTTTGTTCACTGAGCAGGGTAGATAACTATCGACATGACGAAAAGGGAATACCACCACTAGTTTCCAATACACCCGGACTGATCTACCTTGATTGTTCTTTAGCACTTTAACTCACAAGATCTGTTTGTTTATTAACCGTTTAACTACCATGATCTCATTAGTTATTCTCCTTACTATCTGCTATATAAATCTTGTGATGTTAGTCCGGAGCATTTGGTATGGGATCAACTAATAATCCCTTAATTGATATTTTTATTTGTTCTTATCACTTGTCCGCTTAATATTGTATTGATAATGTAAGGAAAAATCGTGTTTTTGTTGCCTATGGGAGTTAAAGGATTAACCCTTTTAGCTGCTTTACATTTTCTTGTAAATTAGTTATGAGAATTTGGTTTTAGGCACAATAACTTCTACCTGAAAAGTTTGAGTATTCTCTTTACATGTTTGCGGGATAATTTATGGATATTATAGAGACACAACATGTTAATCATTTCCGGGAGTCAAAGAGTTAACTGTGGTGTCAGTGATGGAAACCTGCTTTAACAATCTAAACTAAAATTTCAATGTCATTTGTGTACTTTATCATCATTGACGACCACTGTTTTGAAAACTGTGTCGTGATTACTCAGTCCATCATGGCTGGCAGAAAAGAATAGTCCACGGAAATGCTCAATCCAAACGCTCTTGAAAATAAATGAATAACAGTAGTTTCAATGATTACATCATCATTGAAAATCGTACTGAATAAGAGTATTTCTCAAAAGAGAAGTGTAAATACGCACCAGAGCAGAGCAGTTGGTGTAAAAAAAATTAGTAATAATAATAATAATAATAATAATAATAATAATAATAACAATAATAACGATAACGACTGTTGCAGGAAGACAGGTGACATGGTCAACTCAAATTATGCAGTCCCGTTTACACTAATGATTTGATTATCTCTTTTTTTCCTTGCAGAATTTGGGACCGTGAAATGTAGAGGCAAGAAGCTTATACAACTCTATGACTCCAGCATCACCTATTCTTTAAAAGTTGTAAATGAAACGAATGTGGTTTTTGAGGTGAGTTGGATAAATGTTAACCTAAAATGGATAGGAAAACCAAGTTATGTAAATCATTGTGATATAGTGTTGACCTGTTCGACATTAAATGAATTAAGAAAACATTACATTCTGTTCAACTGCCCTTAAAGTTGATTTTTCAGAATCCTATCTGTTTTTCTGGACTTTCCTTCCTTTTTCGCATACTGTTCAGCTAATATGTCAGCTAATAAAAAAACAGTAAACATAACAAAAAACGTAAAAAAAATAATGACAAAGACCACGAAAGGACACTGAGTAATATGAAGAAAGGGAAAAAACAACGCAACATAAAACGAAAAAGTCTAGAAAAAAGGTTTGGCGCAACAAATAAGCTACAAAGACAATTTTTATCAACGAGCTTTCACGAAACTCTAGCTAAAAACATTTTTTTTTTACTTGCTGAATGAAGATAAAAATTTTTTTTTTCCTTTCTAGGAGCATTCATTGTGTGACAGAACAACCAGTGATAATTTCCTATTTCAAGAGGAAAGGAATGAGACTGGTGTATTCACGTACAAACACATATCCAAGTACCTCGGAGTCAGTTCTGATTGTACTGATAGGAATTTATACATTAATTGTACAAACAAAACAGAAGGACGATGTTTCTTTAAAAAGTACAAAAATTTATAATAAATCATAGTTAACATGTTTTGTCTTTTGCCTCTTGCTAATACAAAAAGATATCAGCATGGGAAGTCTGAATTGAAAATCTTGAGCAGCGATCAGCGACACGAGCTGCGAGTTAACGTTCCCGGTGCTCCACGTTCCTTTTCTGTCAAGCCTCAAAGGAATTTTGGGCCCAAGATTCATGATAGACAATGTGGATATTGATCCAACAATCTTACATAAATTAGCCGTTTAATAGGAAATTATAATAATAATAATAAAAAACCAACAGGCTGTCTGCAATTAGTATCCGCTTTGGATAGATGAAAATATGCCGAGAAGAAAAAAATTGAAAATGAAGAGCAATATCTATGGGTTATTGTTATTAATATGTTAAAATGTATATCAAGTTAAAGTTTAATTGAAGTGATGACCATCTCGGGTGTCGGTGTAATGCATTTACAGCTGGTATCGTGAAGAGAATTTGAATTGTAAGTGTAAATGTCATATTATTATCATTGGAAAGGAGTTGTTAATGTGTTTGTTAAGATTATATATTGCGACGGAACCTCGGTCTTTCAACCAGAACATCACCGGCACTTTGACTCGGAAACAGAAGTATTGTCGTTGGTGGTTGTCTGCGTAAGCTTCACGCACGTGTGAGCACCTGACCACAGACCATTTCCCTCAACGATTTACAGTCACGAAACATCAATAAGAGATTTACCATTAAGTATTGGTTTTGGGAAGTACGGGAAAAGACTCGATTTGGAAACACTATATTAGTCCTTTAAGCGGGTTGAACAACTATTGAAACAGAGGAAGGGCAAATCAAGTTGAAAGAAATAAATGGAATAAAAGGCAATAAAGAAAATAAATATCCAAAAGGTAGAGTAAACGGGCCACAATTTTTCGTCTTTTTCAATGGAAACAGATCCCAAACTAAATACTCGAGTTATGTTGGATGAGTAAGGTTATCTACCCACAGCACCACATCAACTTAGCCAATAAACCAAGGATCTAGAATCTAGACGATGTTAGTTCAAGTCGTAATCATTCCGAAACAGCGCACGACCCACTTTAATTACCTTTATTCAGGGCCATGTAATTGACGGCATATTGACACCTTAAGCGTTGAACAATTATTGCGAGGTTTGTAATACTACAGAAATATGTAGGGAAATTACTCCTAATTTTACTTGTACGTGTACAGTTTACGGTGTTGAGCATACTTAAAGATGTGACTTTCATATATTCTTAACCGTTTATACTTAAAGATGTTGACAAGTTGGGCACGTGAAAATATAGAAACTTAATTGTAACTTTATTACAGTTCAGAAATCATCAAGAAACAGCTGCAGAGAGCATTGGTTTTAGAATTTGTCTTATTTAAGTGTTTTAATTTCAGAACATGATCATGCTTGCGAAGTTTATGCATCTTTCTGGATGCGATAGAGTATTGGACTTGCTATATGGAAATAGATATTGAAAATTAAAAAAAGGAGGATAGAGACGTTATTTAAAAACATCTTCTGAGTTAGGGATTTAAGAAAATATTAGATCTGATGGTAAGACTGATAGATGGTTAGTCTAATGTCTTCGACTTAAAAAAATAGTAGTATTTGACGGATTCGAATGTGGAGAGCAATACACACAAATTAAGGAATTAATTTAATTGCATTTTAAGTTAAGTTGAAACCATGTTAGATTGAAAACGTGACTATTTCAAGTGTCGCCATGGCTGACGATGTATGTATTACTGGCGTTCTGAGGTTATGTTGAATCGTTACGTGTGCATGTCATGTAACATTATAGATAACAAAGTATAACAGGAAAAATTTAATTAATATAATATTGGATATCAATCTAAGAAATGACTTTGTTATCCAAACATTTTGCTATTTTCTCTTAAATCCAATTTGAAGCCGTAGGGTTTGTCAGAGTTTCTTTATCATTTTTTCACCATGAGTAGACAATTAGAAGTGAAAAAAACAAATGCAATTGGAAAGTTACTGTATATATAATAAACATACCATTAAAACGCCCCTGTTCAAGCTTTGGCTTATACATTAATGATCTCTGTCGATATCCTTTAATAGGAGTCACATGAATGCCAAACATACATTTCTGGTAAGCAATCTATTACAGGTGTCAATTCTTGACCATTAGCATGATATCAAGGGAACAGTTTAGATTTGAATTGATCGCTTATCTCTGATAGGAAGCTATTAAACTGCTAACAGACCTCCGAGGTCACTTCTTTTCACTTGACAAGAAGCTGCCGATCGCTTTACTAATTTCGTTCAATTCTGAACCTTATACTGCATTCGCATCGAAGCTAAACTTGTATTTAGGCTGTTCTTTCAAACACGGTTTGTTTTCTTCATTGAAGTTACTCAAACTGATGTTTAACAGCCTAAATTAATCCCAATAAATTAATGGTTACTTGAACTCTGTAAAATTTAGTTTTACAGTTTCCTACTACTGATTTTTATCAAAGAGAGCATCAGTCGCTTACATTTTCAAATGACGGTCAAAAAACTTGAGAAGCTTTAAGTAATGCTCGTTGCATGTTACCAAGGGCAATGAGTTCATCAGTTTAATCTCTGCCAAATGCTATACCCTCTTTGAACGAAATCTACTAATGCCATTTCTCGAATAAATAAAGAGGGGAAAGTTTCTAAAGGTCGCGTCGGTTGGAGGGTATAGCAGAGTAATTTGGTATTATCAACTAAGTTGATAGCGTAAATTCAGCTGGCCATGGTTAAGCTTAGCTTCTCGAATAGTCTAGAATTATGTGACATCACAAACTCCAATTTAACACCCGTTAACGCATAGAAAATCAGTATATCTTGGTTTTTGCGAAGTGGTTAATCCTGAAAGCGGACAAAAATGAGCGTCAAGCATAATTTTCTGGTGAGAAATAAGATAAAGAATTTGTCGAGAGGACTTGAAAGCGAGTTTATAAATCACCTTATTAATCAACAGAGTCACTTAGACGTCTGGTAAGGTAGTCCTTGCATTCATTCTTTATGAACACACCTAGATCAAAAAAATTCTGCTTTTGATTCCCATGAATCATATGTAATTATAAGGTAGCTACCGTTTTGATAGAGATCATGCAGAGATTTGTTAATCTTTCTTCTCTGTCTGTTTCTCCTTTCGGTGATCATGAAGACTAAATGCTTGGATAAATCAGCCAGAGGCTCAAGTTAAAAAGCTTTAGAGATGGTTTGCTGCATTGAGCTATCGTTTGTATATAGATTGTCTCCAGTTTCTCAGGACTTGCTTGTCTCATTCTTTGGAGCTAGTTCCTCTTTTACACATCACTACGGACATTGCTTTTGTTAATGTAAAAGACTTGCTTAATAAGTCTGTGTCTCTCTCGATTTACATTTCCATTGCCAAGGGAGTTTTTCCCTGTTTTCAATTTCGCCTAAAGTCCCGCTAGGATGATGTTGTATTCAAAGTTTTGAAATATCCGGGTACTAATGGATAATTCGAATGGATACTAGCAGGATAAATTGAGCTATTATGACGATAAACGCTCATCAGCTTCTTAAATATTATGTTGTGCTAGCGCAGATTATCTAGGAGAAAAATTTTTTAAATTTTAAATTGTAGTTCAAGGATATAATTTAAAGCTGATCCTGCTAATACTATAGCATTTTTTGATAAAAACTGGTTACCGTATTTTGAAAATACGCTTTTGGTTGCTAAGATAATAATTAAGTAAAGCTCTAAAAAAAGCCGCACTATTCAAATTGTGTTAAGTGTGTCACAATTACATGGTCTATTTACTGTATGCAATTAAGGACCCATTCATGAGGAGGTCAGAACAACTTTTGCATACATTACAAGGAGGTTTGATGTATCTGAAATCTCTTTTTTTTTTTTTTTTTGGTTTCCTTTCTGAGTTATCTATCGCGTGTTTTCTAATTTGTTGTAAAGAGGCTTTGTTTGCCTGGACGTTTACTACACTTGCACATTGTGATTTGATAATAAACGGGTTCAGTTGTTATGCAATTTTCGAGTTTCACGGAGTCTTGGAAATTGGTTATGTTCCGTTCAATATCTGCCGTCGATGATTTCGTGCTCTCGTCATGGTTATACTCTCTAGAAACTTAATAACTTGTTTGCCTGTTTGTAAGATTTTTTCACGCAAACTTCTTTTTCCTTCTCTTCACTTATCTTATCACTGCACGTCTATAGGTTTTTGCAGAATCTGCTAGTATTTAGCGATGGCGAGAACAAAAGGTTAAACTCCAAGATACCGTAGCTCGAATAAAAATACTTGTCTTTGAAATTATTCTTCTCTCTTCTCTCTTACATCTTCTCTTAGATTTTACATGAAAAAAAATCACCTGGCTGGCTAAAATCGATCATGATCTTAAGAGTTCTCTGTTTGCTTAGTGATGGCGTTCTCTGCGTAAGTACTGACGTTTGGTCACGTAAAAGTCAGTGCTTCCGTATAAATCCTTAAAAGAGTCGATCAACCAGGTTATTTGCGAATAAACTTAACTTACACTGATGAGACCAAGACTTGTAGTAATCCTCGGATTTGAGTTTAGTCATGACCGACTAGAGCCATGGTTTCGAGTTAGGGGAGTCTGCAGAACTATGTTACCGTTTGAAGGTACCGAGTTCTGAGGAAACTCTAACCGGCAAACGCATAAATCCAATTGGAAAGTGCGAAAAAAAAGGAAAAAAAAAATTACTTGATGAATAGTCACAAATCACATATTTTTAGATTGAGTTTGGTCTCAAATACAAACATATATTGAAACATCATTTTCTTCTTCCAAACGTTTGGCACAAAAATTATTACACTTCTTATTCACCAAACTGTAACAGGGTCAGTCATCCCTAACTACATGTCTCCAATGTAATGTCTTAATTTCCAGATACTATTCGCAATTATGCTGGCATACGAGGAAGTGCAATCACGACGACCGGAGAGAGGTCTTGCCTCGGAGTTTTGGAGAAATCACTGCGACGGAGGCAATCTGATGAGGATTTACACAAACATCTGTGAAGTTACAAACGGAAAGAGATTGTGTAAAGTACTCGTTAATGGCAGAAGTACGTATGACTTGTACACAAGTAAGTGTTAAAATCAAAAGTGATGATGTAATGTTAATCGACACGATACTTTTTTTTTGTTTTAGCGGCGTTGGAAACTATCGACGAGATGAAAAGGGAACACCACCACGACTTGTTCCATGTTTGCCCAGACTTTCTCCGGGCCCTTGATTGGTCAATATATAGAATTCCCAAAATCTGATTGTTAATTCTCCCCTTTAGCTGTTACACATTTACTTGTATCTGACTGGTTTTGAGAATCTGACGTGAGATCAAGATAACAACTTCTACTTGTTTATTCTCTTTACCTTTTTGCTGGATAAAGGGTTGAAATTACATTTTATGAACGGTATCCCATTACAAGTGACTTATGGATTGTGTGATATTTTCATTAGCTTCGATTCATGAGCTTCTCAGGAAAATATAAATAAAAATATTCACCGAGGGGGAGGTAAATAACTGTTTTAAAATATATCACACAAATACCAAAAACTTAAATATACCGGAAAATGGTCAGAAATTAAAGTCCTGATAGGCAACTTTGTCTCATTGGCTACTTGGAGGAGAATTGTACTTGCTATTCACTTCCGAACCGGGCAATCAGCGCACGCGAAAACCATTATTAATGGTAATTAATGTGTGGTATATACTAATTTGTTATAGTTGGCAATTATATCCTGCCAGTAAAAATTGTTGAAAAATGGCATTTTTCAGGTTTACCTCCGTCCTAAGAACACTGTGAGTGTTAGTGATTGGACCGGACTCTACTCATCTAAAACTTACATTTCTTTGTCATTTGTGCACTCCACCGTCATTTTCGACCAAAACTGCCGGCTAGCGGAAAAAATAGTCCACGCCCAATACTCCCATATACTCTTAAAGATTAATGAATGATAATCAAAATCACCAGGTTTAAAATTTACCATCTTTATTTCATCGGGCAGAATGCGTGGTCATCATTAATCATTCGTTCATATCATATTTACACATAAGCATTACATATCCACACTCCTATGCTAGCAGCATGTGGAAAATTTGTCACTATGGACGTAGTTAAACGGCCTAACTTGCCTGCCACGAGTCTCCTATAGCTCATTGGTGAGGCATCCGAAGTCCTAATCCGTAGGTCGTAGGTTCGATTCTTATTGAGAGCACTTAGAGTCCTTTCCCTCCTAATATACATTTATCATTTATTGATTATCATCACCGTGCAAATGGCAATTAGTTTTAATGATGATATCATTAATGAATATCTTACTGAATGAGGTATTTCTCTAAATAGCAGAGTAAAAAACATATGAGATGCGAGAATGGTACTCTCAGGAGAGAGAGCAAATTAATTATTGTGACCGTTGCGAGAAGAATGTTGACAAACTCATGGTTGGCTCCAACAGTGCAGTTGCGTCTATCCTAATAATTCAATTATCTGTTTGTTTCCCTCCAGGATTTAAGACCATGAGATATAAAGCCATGAAGTGCATTCAATTCAATGACTCCGGCACTGTATATTCTTTGAAAGTCGTACATGGAACGAGCGTGGTTTTTGAGGTGAGTTGGATGAAGGTCAACCCAAGATGGAGAGGAAAACCTACATATGTATATCTTTGAGATATATTGGTTGACCTGTCGTGCATCTAATAAGAAAACACGGCATTCTGTTGTACTACCACTAAGTTAACAGTTTTTAAAGCCAATTACATGTATCTATTTTCCTTGTTTTTCCATTCTTTTTCGCGTACTTGTTCAGCTGCAGTGTGTTAATCAGTAAGAAAAAATGGGCATAACAAAATACATAAAAACTAAACGACAAAAACCACATCAACGTAGGACACTGAAGAACATAATGACAAACAAAAATCAACGCATCATGCAAAGAGACGGTCCTGGTTTGGTACAACAAATAAGCTGCAAAGAAAATTTTATTATTAGACCGTTTTTATAGAAGAAGAAGCAATTAAGAGGTTAAACATTTGACAATAAAAATTGCGATAAATATATTTTTAAAAACCATAATAACACATTGAAAAAAGTTAAAAAAGCTGGTTGACGACGTTTCGACGTTAACTATCACTATCAAATCAGTATCGACGTTGACTATCACTGTCAAATTAAAAAAAAAAATTTTATCTGTTAATGCTTAAACAATGATTAATAGTTACTAATTAAAAACGATTTATAAAAATGAATTACTTAAAACAGAAAGTTTTGGTTTGAGCTTTTCGATGAAAAGCATCTCAAATACTAAACAATCAAAGCTACTTTGTCACTTCCTCAGAATCTTAAAAAGGCTTGTATTAAGATTACTTATACTGTGCTCTTTAGCGAGATGTTGACCAATTGACGAGTTCTTGTGTTAAGCAACGCTTTGAAAAAGTTAATAAAACTTTTGTCAAAGGAAAACCTGTTTTGTTCTCGTCGTCGATCTTACAGTAACTTTGTTTGTTTGTTTTGTTTTAATTGCTTGTTGATTGATGAAACAAATTATTTATTTCCACGAGCATTCATTGTGTGACAGAACAACCAGCAATGATTTCCTTTTTCAAGCGGAAAGGGATAATGAGACTGGTGTATTCACGTACAAACACATATCAGCTACCACTAATCAGGCCAAATACCTTGGAGTCAGCCCCAATTGCATTGATAGGAACTTAAGAAAGAAAACAGAAAGACGGTGTTTATTTAAAAAGAAACGTTAGAGCTCTTTGAAATTTTTATAAGTTTACAATAATTCCAGAAAAAATAGAAAATGTCTTGTCTTCAGTTAGCCTCCTCTAATGTGGATATTAATTCGACAGTCACATAAAATCTTCCTCTAGTGGGTATGTGAGGAAACGAACGGGAATAAAAATTGAATATGGAGGTCGAGAGTAGTAAGGTCACCGCGAGTATATATGCATGTGAGCATGTGATGCATTTATTGCTGGTGTCTTTGAAAAATGTCGAATTTTGAAATGTATATGTAATTTAATTTTTATTAAAAACGAGTTGTTAAAGACTTTTTCAAGTTTTTTATTGCGACATAATCTCCGTGTCTCAAACAGAATTTCGCCCTGTCACTTTGACTCGACGACGGGTGAATTACCCTTCATAATTATATTTGCGTAGGCAAATCGATATTTGTCTTCACGCACGCGTGAGCACCTGACCACAGACCGGTTCCGTCAAGGGTTTGATTGCTAACGGACTAGGTCACGAAAACCCAATAACAGACACACCTGATTATTTATTGGTATATGGAAATGCGAAAAAAGCTCGAATTGGAAACTCTTTGCGAGCGGGTTGAACAACTTGTGATACTGAGGAAAAGCAAATAAAATTGAAAGAAATACCGAAATAAAGGGAGAAACAAACAAATATTCATAGGGTTAGGTAAAAGTGTCAAAATTTTTTTTTTTTCAGGCATTCCGATTCAGCGTGAGAGCTAATTAAATTACCACTAAACTTACTGCCGACACACACCCACGGATATAATACAGACTGTGAAGGAAAATATAGCTATTGACGATTTACACATGTTAAGGGTTGAGAAATTCATTAGAAGCCTTTAATTTCATAAAAATTGGGAACTTATTCTTTTTTATACGTTGACAGTTTCTGGTTTTAAGCTCAACTAACGTTGTTGAGTGAGGATAAATTTATTTTAAGTAATAATTTAGAATTCACCGGCAAAAAGATGAAGAGAGCGGTAGTGAGTTAATTTGCGAACGTGATTTGATTTATAAAAAAGATAATCTTGCTGGCAGAGTTTAAACAGATTCCTGGGTGTAATTGAACAGTGGACAAGCCCGAACGGAAATTCAGTCTGTAGATATCCATAATTAGAAAAATACCATTTGACAATACCATAAAAATTAAAAAATATGACAGAGAGATTTTGAGAAACTGTACGAAGATTTATTTCGGCATTGAACTCTTTAAGGGAAAAAAAACAAGTAATAGATTCGAATATGGAGAGCAATACGAACAAGTTAGGAAATGATATTTATCAAAAGGTATTCTAAGGGAAGTAACAATGAAGCTAGGACCACTTGAAATGTCGGTATGACTGATGTTATATATGTGTTACCGGTGTGTTACAGAGATGTTGAATTTTTCATTGTATATGTAATGTAATTATAACTTAAAAAGAGCTGTGTTTGTTGAGAACTTTCATCGCTACGTGATCTCCTTCTTTGAATCATAACTTCATCGGGTCGAAGACAGAAATATTTTCCGCAATTATCTTTTGCGTAGGATAACCGGAATTGGTTGCAAACAAGAGTGAGCACGATAAGGATAGCCGGAATTGGTTGCAAACAAGAGTGAGCACGAAAAGTTAATAAAAACTTTAATTCCGATAACTGTGGAGGAAAATAAGGGTCCGCTACTGGATTCAGAATAGTTCATGGTTAAAGAATCGCCTTCTGGTAGAAATATTTAACAATTACCTTTGATGGATAAAAACGTGTGATGAAATAAACTTGGAATTTTGACAAAGCCGGAGTGATATGCATGAATTAACTGGAGTGGCGGTGTTATAGGTGTGTTCGTCTTCTATAAGAGAAGTTGAATTGTTGAGTGGACGCGCAATGTAATCGAAATGTAATATGGTCAAGGAGTTCGTTAAGATCTTATTTAGCGACGTAATCTCCGTCTTTAAAGCAGAAACTCGCCCATTTATAATGACTCGAAGACAGAAGTATGCTTTTCAATACTTGAGTGTGTAAAATACTCGATATTGTTTTAAACGCATGTGTGGGCACCTTAACCAGCGATGTATGCGTTAACTGACTATCGTCACGAAACTTTGATAACAGATCAACCATCAAATGTTGATATTGTGAAATAAGGGGAAACGATTGTTTTGGAAATTTAGTCTGGTCTTTGAGTTGTTCTGAACAACTAGTGAAGTTAAGGAGGAAAAAAACCAAAATTGACAAAGGAAAAGGATGCAGTGATAAAGACTAGAGCAAATAAATCTCAAAGTGTCATAAATGCTTTTTCGTTTTCAGTGAAATAAATTCTCGCACACTGAGTAAAATAGCTGGTTTGACAAAATCTATTTTCACTATTACATTAACTTAATTAACCGAAATACCGAAATCAATGGCGTAAAATCAATGAAATGTCAATTCGTGATCTAGTTATAATCTATGTGAGACCTACAAAGTTAACACTTCCTATGAGGGCACACCTATGCCCTATGTAAGTCCATTAAGTCAAACTGTCATCAAATTAGATAGGAGATAGGAACGACTCTCGTGCACGCAAAGGCATTCTTCTCCTTCTTTTCTCACGTGCCATATTTAACTTTTCTAGCACAGAGGAAGGAAACAAAATATCAATGTGTTGACTTTCCTTCTGCACCCAGTAATTGCATCTGGAGTAAATATAAACGCAGTTACGGATCTGGTTAACCAACTTACGTCGTTCTTAAGTTATTTATTTTGCGGTCTTTGTTTATTACATCACAATTAAACCTAATATTCCTGTGCAAAAAAAAAAAAAGGAAAAAAAATTGCTATAAAAAGAAGCTGCTTTTTGTGAGCTGTCATGGAAAACCACTCTTGTTCAAGCATTTTGGAGACAGAGAACGAAATGGATCCAAAACACACTTTTGTTTTTCTGGTAAGAACTTACGTCATATTCTTGCAAAACTGTTTCAAAGAGTATATATTGGTCATGTATACTTTTCGGATAAAAGAAAGTACTCTACAAAAGTATTTATTCACCCTCCTAAAAGGTTGAAATTCGCAATAATGATCAATGACGATAACTTCAGCATGACGACTGCAAGACAGTCTTTCAATCTCAACTGAGTTAATAATGAAAATTGGACACAGGAAAAATGTTCTTTGGCTTTTTGAATCTTTTTACGGTGACAATTAACTCAGATGATAAAACCAAATTATCTTATAAACTCCATCGACACAGCTACAAAGCTTCTTTAGAAAATTACTCCTTTATTCTTTTAACCAAACTTATTAATCCATAGATTACAGCAGTATGCTTCCTGGCAGAGGGGACAGCCAGGACGTTTTTTCTCCAATCCGAGTTCAGAAAACAAAACTCATGTATGGGGGGCAATCTAATGAAATTCCACAAAGACACAGCTTGCCAAGCTTTAAAAGGTCCATGTCAGGCGAAATGTGATGGTGCGAGTACAAGAGATGTCAACACTAGTAAGTTATATATTTTTGTACATACGTTTATTATTATGACACAGGGCACAGCAAAGGTAGGTAGAAATTGCACTCTCTCTTCGCAGAATAACATAATGAGGCCCCATTAGGGAGGATCTGAGTATCTCGTATGCTATTAATTTTTGGCCAAAATATCCCGTATCCCGTTAATTATTGTTGTTCGTATCCCTAAAATGCCAGTTACCATGATGACGTCATTGAGCGTGATATGTTTCGGGGCTAATAACGAAAAATACATTTTCTTGGGGCGTTTCGTATTTTAAATAGAAATAACATGAAAATAAGACATCATGTTTATCGATGGTATACTCTTATGTAACGATTTGTAAAGAATTGCTAAAGGACTGGGTGGACTTCAAAGCAATGAGTAACCGAGAAAGTGGCGCAAAATGGGAAAAGCCGTGGGGGAAGGGGAGAGTTGTTCTCGGAAAAGAGCCGATATTGGCACCTATCGCCAATATTGACAATATTTGATGGCAAAATGTAAAAATCTCATTTGAAAGTTTTTTTTTCCACCTTCTATATTAACCAATAAACTAATTTCATTCTTTTAAAACATGAGAACTTCGATCTTCGATATCCCAGAATCTTTTTTAAATATCCCGAATCCCTCTAATTTTCCGCCCAAATATCCCATATCCCTATAATTTTTTCGCCAAATATTCCGTATGCCGATAACCCCTAATAGGGCCTCCATAATGATTGGTGCTTTTCCATAAGAGAAGAGATTACTCACATTTTATTTGCTAATTTTTCATTGATTTTCAGGATTTTCAATTGTGGATGTCAGAGGCTTGAGGTGCATCCAGTTTACTGATAAGCACTCTAATACCAAATACGCATTAAAGATCAAGCACGGCACAAATGATATTGTTTTTGAGGTGAGTTAAATGAAAGTTTATATTTGCGTGTTAATTTTGGTTGATTCGAGCGTTTTGCGCCATTTGGTCTGCTTCTTGTGTCTTGAGTCGAGCGTGAGGCGTGACACGGTGCTGGACTTCTCTTCATGAAAATCAAGAGAACTGTGTGCAGAGAGTCAAACGATTTTTGAGTGGATTAACTTTGAACTTCAGGAGTCGTAATGCCCAATATATTTAAAACATAATGGAAATTTTACGATTGGATAAAAGCTTGCCGTGAAAAAACACTCAAATCACACAACAGCAATCTAAAACTCACATCAGACCAAGCTTGACCCACCCACCCACTCATATGAACCGATTATCTTTTTATGCCATATGTTATATGGCATAAAAAGTTGTGCTTTTTCATGGGTTAAAAATTCAAATAATTTTGCTGTTAGTGTCTGTATTATAACTATCTTTGTGCTGGTGTGCATAGTTGTTAATCAAAAGAAAAAGAAAAATGACAATGATATAGAGGCCTACTTTTACTTTTACTTACAGTTCAGTCGATCGTCTCTTTCCGTTTGTACGAATGAGAAACACTATTGTGTCTTTCTTGGAACAACAAAAATAATAGAAAAAAAAAACTATTCAGAACATGGGGAGAACTACAATTTGGTTTATTAGAGCCTGACAGCAATGAATCTTTTTTTTTCTCATGCTCTTTTAATTTACAACCGTTTTTTTTTTTGTTTTATGATTGTTTGCTTCTTTTTTCTGTGTTATGTTCATCTTGTATCGTTTAATTCTCAGAAACGGCAATGTGACAACTCAATTGGCAGTGAGTTCCTTTTTACAGAGAAGAAAGTTAGTGGAATGTTTAAGTACATGCATCGAAACACGATGTGCCTTGGAATATCTTCCAACTGTGATGATACTAATTTGCATTTGTTAATCACTAGAAGCAATGATAAGCGATGCTTATTCAAAAAGTTCCGACGTCTTTGAAACTGATATTTACTTAGTTATTGTTTGAATTAAGTATGCCTATGTAAATGTATGACAGATTCAAACCAAAGTTTATAATAAATTGATTAGATAAGGAAAAGTTCTGTAGCAGGTAATTATTTTCCCCTACTGTCCATAAAATTTTATCTTCCCACTGGTTCGGGATAATGATTCAAATTGGACTTGAATAAAAGGACGAATCCTCGGAAAGCAAATCGAACGAAAATAGCATTCCCGTGCCTTTTCCTGTCAATTTCGTTTACGGAAAAAGAAGAAAAAAATCGATGTAATTCGTCGAAAGTTTCAGGTTTTGACTTGACACTCGGACGCATCCACTACGCCTCAGGGAAAGTCGGTAATCGAGTCATGTGAGAGTGAAGAAATACATCGAGCGCGAAAAATCAAGACGACTTGAAGTTTCTTTATTAAATATCCTTATGAGAAATATGAAATAAAGGCAATCGGTTGTTAACGTATACTGAAGCGAGGCTTGGATTCCGAGTTGCTGCAAACTTTCTATTTGACCCTTGCTTTGAACGCGATAGCGACAAGATAATAAACTGTCTCACAAGGTAATCATATTAATTGATAAATAATAAATAATAAATAGTTATTTCTAGAGCGGTATATAAAACTCTATCTATGATAAGAAAAAAATCATGCTCTAAATGCTCTATATCGCTTTTACATAAAAACTAGGAAATAGTTACCAAACAAAATGGTAATTATTGTCTTAGAAATACCATACAGATACCAAACAATAAGTTTATTTTTGTCAATATGCCGGAAAAAAATTGGTCGGAAACAAAACTCTTGATGAGCAATTTTGTCTCATCGGCTGCTCGGAGGTGAATAGTACTAAATATTCACTTCCTAACTCAATCAGCGCTCGCAAAAGCACTTCCTACTTTAGTGGTATATACTCATCTATGATACTTATTTATTATGCACATACTAGATTTACACACAGTTTTCTTCATAAGTACATAGGCTTAAGGTGCTGTGTTTTACGAAGGAAATTTCACCATTAATATCAACTCGTCCTAGTCTTCAACAGATGCAAGTAAACAACAAACTTGTAAACGAATAAAACGCATATTTGACTCTTCAGACGACGATGACGATCCACTCTTGACACAGAAAGAGTCAGCTTCGTTGAGAAGCTAAGAACTTATATTTGTCGAGCTTTTCCTTCTTTTTATTCAGTATATTCTTAAACGAATATTTAAGATATACTAATTCGCTGTTATGAAATTGTCATGCTGTAAGCTTAGTTAATTCAATTCAGCATTTTATTTTACTATTTCAGGCCTTGATTTAACTTGTAAGGCACTTTTTTGTAAGTTATTTAAGAAGCTTTCAAAACTTCATGGATACTTGCATAAATCACCTTTAATTTCGAGAAAATCTCAGTTTGTAAAAACCAAATTTCTTCATGGAAAGTGTTTTTCTACGATGTTTACGCACGAGTTTGTTTTCACAAAACGAACGAGGAAGGCTTTGCCTTTTTTATAATATATGAAAAAAAAATTGTCATGTATTGCGGTGACTTGACGAAGATCCGATCGTGAAAATAAAAACTCATGCGTAATTATCTTACGTCAGAACTCTCCATGAAGAAATCTATATCTCTAAAGAGCACGTAATGAGGTCATTAAACTACCAATATATCTTGGTGCTATGTCATTATTAAGCATTATAAAATATCAGAGAAATGCGCGCGCCGTGATTGGTCATTTCCATAACGCACGCGCCTTATGTTACACGAGTGCACTGTTGAGATATAATGTACGCAGCCTACGTCATCGGTACAAGCGCGCAATTCAAGATACACTATCTAAAAGAAATAAAAGAACTCGAGCAAAGTGCGGAGAAGCACGAGTCTTCGGCTGGTGCCTCTCGCACTTCTCGAGTGTTCTTAAAAATTCCTAAGTGCTTAGATAACTCAACAATGCTCGAGGAATCAGTTTTTTTACTTATTTACTTCCAGTGTAAGTTAGCGATTGGCGAACTAATAAGAAGCGAATTGAAGTTTTTTAAACAAAAAGAGCAAAAGTATAGGCAAGTGATTATGAGTTCTATAAAGTCAAGTGTTACCTAATTTTAGCAATATTTCTAAGATGGAGTAAGGAAGACTTGCAGACCAACACATTTTCACCGCATTGTCACCTTTTTATAATATAAATGTTATCATTATTTTGATTATTCATCTTATTATTATCATTTATTGCGGTGACTTGACGAAGATCCGATTGTGAAAATAAAAACTCGTGCGTAATTATCGCACGTCAACACTTTCCATGAAGAAATCTATTTCTCTGGAGAGCGCGTAATGAGGTCATTAAACTACCAATATATCCTGGTGCTATACCATTATTAAAAAGTATATATATAATATTTATATGTATATAATAGATATAAATATTATCGTTATTTTGATTATTTATCTTATTATTATTGTCATGTATTGCGGTGACTTGACCAAGATTCATGACACATTTAAACATTATACAATCATATGTTGAATTCGATCTCAATAAGAAAAGATTGGGACTCATTCTCAACCCAATTTGTTCTTTACTAGTCGTTTGAGTTTTCTTTTGTAATAGTTTTGCTCGAGTACAAATTAAGGTAAATTTTTACTTGATACGAATATCAATTCCAAGTACAAAACGTAGTCAAACCAGCCCAAAGACGAGGGAAAGGCGAAGAGAATAAATAAACAAAATCAAAGACCAATCAAAGCGAAGCAAATATACGCAAGTTTCCTCAGGCTGGTCATCGGATCGTTGATAGCATTATCGAAATGAGTGACGACTGAAATAACGAGAATTCTTTGTTATATCACTGAGGCTGGGATCGCAAAACTACCTTATTAACCTAAACTTATTAACTGTGACCACTGCAGCCTTGCGAATTAACCTTAGTGTAATCCAAAGGTTATTAAACCACGGATTCGTTACACACAAAGCTGTTGGGTTCAAATTCCGTTCGTGTGCAGCACACAGTACGCAGCATACTATGAGTGCTCATACGTGTGTGGCAACGCAAAGAAAGTGGCAACGGAAACAAAAAATAGAGTGCCGAACTATTTGAGCAGAAATACAGAAAACAAAATCTTGAGGAAGCGAGCACAAACTTGCATTAGCGTCCTTTGAATTGACCTCGAGAGTCACCGCAGGGACATGAAGAAACCGTGTCGATTAAAGTCTAATTCATAAAATTTCTATTGGGTTGAACGAAAATTTATCGTCGTCATCCGGGGCCTAGCGCTTGGGCAAGAACCGCAAAAACTCAGAGCACAGAGTAACGTAATAAGTCACTCATAAATTCTGCGGTAACGAAGGCTTTCCTTTAGAACTCAAATTTAAACTGCTTCTCTAAATAAACAGTTTCCGTACGTATCTTAATATGTTATAATTGCCGATAGCGTCGGTTAAAATTTAAATGCTAAAAGACTCGTGCGATAACCAAACTAGGTAACCAATTCGAACAAGCCAAAAAATACAGGAAAATAGAGAACCTCATATTACATTTTCATGAAATTCACTTTATTTTGTTGATACTTGTCTAACATATTACACCCATTTTCTGAAATAGCAACGCTTATCATTAATAGTTGTGTTGTGTAAGTATAACCTAGTGTCGTGACAATCTGAGGATACTCCAACGCACGTTGTGTCACTGTGCTTGTACCTGTACAATCGAGTCGTTCCCTCTACTCTAACCTCATCAAAAAGGAACTCGCTGCCGATGGAATTGTTACACTCCCGTTTCTGTTAATAGGATCAAGATAAGCTCATTAAAAATTGCAAACTATGGAAAAAGTAAGTAGTCACTTAATTATTATACCATTCTAACAGATTATAGCGTAGCGGCTTATGCTTATCTTACACGGTGTTTTTCAAAGCCTAAGAGTGAAGGTAACTTACCAAATTTGACTCAATAAGGTCAAACTAAGCCAATAAAAACGAGTTTGGGTAAATATGTCTACAATCAGAATGATGGGTCATTATCTGTAAGTGGTTGTTGCGCTTGAATTTTGTCATACGAAGGGGTTCGTTTTAGTGTTACGACTCTCGAATTGAAAGCACCCTACACTGAAGTTTTATTTACGATAGATTCGTCACTTACCTCAAAGACGACATCATTTGTTCTCTTAGTTACTTTCAATGCATACTTCGTACTTTGGTCAACAGTGAACTCAATACATCTCTTTCCGTTGATTTTCCTGACTGAAAATTCTAGATGACCAAATCAAAAATAATATTTAAAAACATACTTATATATTTCTTCCGAAAAGGTTAATAAGGAATTTTCGCATATGGCGGTTCTTGGGAAAAACAGTTAACTGCGGTTTGAAGCGCTGATGATGATAACGTGATGATGATATGAGGTCTCATTTGCCTTACAACAGAGCATCTTAGTTGAAATCTACGCCAGAGACTCGATGTCCTCGTCTTACGCTTGCGCACTACATCTATTTTGCATCTTTCTAGAATTCAGCATTTTTTTATGTGCAGGTTCCTTATTCAAAAGTCATCCTTCCTCGGTTATCAAAAACTTTCTGGAGTCTTCTTTTATTGAGAAGCGATTTCTAAACAAGGACAATGCAACTTGTGGGGCAATCAGAGTATGAAGGCCTTCTTGTCAGTTAAATAATTAACCTTAAGTACTGACTTCAGTTAAATTTCACTGACAATTATTACTCACTTGTGTTGTTAGTTGTTTTTCTTTCACCATCGCACTTTGCCCTGCAAGGCCTTCCTGAAGCTTGACAAGCCCTATCTACGTGAATTGTCATGAGATTGCCTCGAAAACATTTTGTTTCTAATCTAAATTTTGACTGAAGGTGCACCTTTCTCGGGTTTGATAAAGTTGCTATCTCAGCCAATGCGAACAACATTAGAACCTGTGTAAAAAATCAAAATAAGCTCGAAGTCACCTTACCCCACTGAAAAGAGGACGATCATGTAAAAACGTTTAATCACTTTTAGGGT